CGCTGCAGGACGACGAGTGGGGCGGCGGCGAGGAGGGCGGCGCGACCAAACCGGGAGCGAGGGCTCGGCTCAGCCTGCTGGCCGCCGGCTGCAACGCGTTCTCGGCACCGGGCACCGCGGCCGCGCCGTGGACCGCTGGCTCCAGCCCTTGCCCGCTGCCGCCGTCCCTGGTCCACCGGGCGTCGGGCGAATCGCTGCCTCCCCGTTCAGCCCCAGCTCAGCTGCAGCTGCCCGACGGGCCGGGGGGCGCCGGACAGGAGGAGCTGGAGGAGGACGATGCCTTCACCAACGTGCAGGTGCCACTGGCCAGCTTCTTGGGCTCCGGGACCCCCGGGAGTGCGAGCGGCAGTCGGGGCCGCCTCAACTCGTTCACTCAGGGAATCCTGCCCATCGCCTTCTCCAGGCAGAACTCGCAGAACTACTGCGCCTTGGAGCAGCCAGGCCAGGGCGGTAGCACTAGCGCCTTGGAGCAGCTGCAGAGGTCCCGGTGAGTATTTTGGACGCCACGCGCGCCCAGTTTTGCAGTGTCCCTACGACTGGAACCCCACCGGGGTCGCTCCCACCTTCCTGCGCCTGGCTAGATCCCGGGCTCCTGACCGGAATCCCAAACCACTAAGGCATTTGAAAAGGGGAAGAGGCCCAGGGAGTGAGTATGTGGTCACACGTGTGCATGAACCCGGCACTAGCAGAGCGGACGCACCATGCCCCTTCTTTGGCCAGGGAGTTGGAAGAAGCGGTTAAAAAGCTGCTCTCAAGCCTCCTGGTGCGAGGAGAACACCAGCTTCCTGAAAACCGGTCCAGACCCGGAGGCGCGTCCCCAGCTCCAGGCGAGCGCTGCCGGGTGCAGTGGGTGGGGCCGGGGCAGGGCGGCGCTTGGGAGCCCCAACTAGTAGCAGACACGTGGGAACCCCTTTGGAAAGTTTGTGGAGCCCGGGAAATCGTGTTTTCCTTTTGTTTTTCTAAGAAGTGGAAAGTTTTTCTGGCATTTCCTTGGTCCAGGCCTAGGGTGTGGGGGACAGAGAGGAAATATGGCCTGAGACTCCCATTCCGAGAAAAACTGGCAAGAGTTAGAAGCTTGCTGTGTGCTTGTGTGAGTTATCTGCGGGTTTGTGACATCTCAGCAAAAACGTGAGACCTACTTAGCGGAGAAATGGCTGGAGTTCACTGCCGTGTGTTAGGGCAGCTGGCCTTGGTTCTGCGTGGAATCGTGAGACTGCAGGTTGGGGAGGAAGCCCAGTGGAGTGGGCGGGGCTCTGCAGGCCTGTGGTACGAGTCCTTCCTAGCTAATAAAGCCGCCTAAGAAATTATAGCATTGACTATCTTAGTTAACTAGCAATAACTGAGGGAACCAGAGCCTCTGTTTCCTTTAAGGGATAGGCCCTTGCCAACGTTCTGTGGCATCTCGGTAGGCAGGGAGACCGCCTCTGCTCCCTATGCTCTCCCGTGACGCCCCAGTGAAGGCTCATACTTGCTCCGGCCTGAAAAAGAGGGTGGCCTGTTGGAAAACTTCCTTGCTTAATGGAATGAGAGAAGAACCAGCTGGGCTCGCCCAGAAGTTTTCTGGCTTCCCAGTGTGGGAAGTCAGACCCGTGCTGCTGCAGAGTAAGGCAAAGTGCATGTGGACCTTAGGGTGTGGGGTCTGGCGAGGCAGCCTCTGTTGCACCTATGAATTAATGATACTGGGTTCAAGTGACAATCCTGCAGCATTTCTTGTTAGAGCATGCATCTCTGGAAAGCTGATGAGTGGATTAGCAGCCCTAGGCTGGCGGAACTGTTACCACTTGACATCACACCCTGGCTCTTTGTGACTTTGGAGTCTGAGCTGAAGCCCAGAAGAGGGCTATGAGTTGTGCTGAGCCAGTGTGTCTCCTGGAGGGCAGATGTGCTGACAGCAGCTGTAATGGGATTACCCTCCACTCCTCCTCCAGGAAACTCATGTGGGAGCGGTGGAGCATGGAGCATTTCTGAGTCAAAGGACTTCCTGAGCTCACTTGCTAACCCTAGCCCTGGGAACCTTTAGGGCGCCCTATTTACTTATTTATTTTGTGTTTTTCAAGACAAGTTTTCTCTGTGTATCCCTAGCTGTCCTGGAACTCACTCTGTAGACCAGGCTGGACTTGAACTCACAGATCCACCTACCTCTGCCTCCCGAGTGCTGAGATTAAAGACGTGTGCCACTACCAGCCTGCTAGGATCTCTTCTGTCCAAACACAGCTCAGTATGTGCTCGTCTCAAAGATGTAGCCTTGCTTGGCAGTCATACTGACCAAACCATTTCTGAATAGCCTGCGTTTGGCAACTTGATAGGTATGCATTTTGGCAGTTCTTGATAGAGGCGCTCAGAGTGGAGGTTAACACGAATTGAGAAAGGTCAGTGTGGCCATGGAGACCTTTGTCTGAGGTGTGTTACTTTTATAATCCCTGAAGAGGACTTTCCCCTGCCCACACTCACCTGTGGCCCAGGTGGGGCCAGCCCTCTGCTCTTCCTTACCTTCCTGGTGTAGTGGCTTTCTGCAGCCCAGTGGCCAGTGGGGCTCCCTCCGTACACTGTTTACAAAACCGCTCCTGGGATGTGAGCTGCCAATCAATTTGGACTTTCTGTGGATGCTTTCCTAGCTCTGTAAGAAGTTCTAGGGAGCCTTGTTGCCCATGATTGTGGACTCTGGTCCCTTAGCCTTATGGAGAGCTCAAAAGAGCAATTTGTCTGTTTCCACCCTGACCCGTGTGAGTTCATGTCCAAGTTCCCCGGGTGATTCACAAGCACCGCCAGAGTGAATCTCAAATCCACTCTCTTTCTAGTGAATTTAAGCTTTTCTGTATTGAGCTTGTCATGGATAGATAAAAATCACAACTTAAAGACTTGGACTCTTAAAACTCCTTCTGGTTTCTTCCCTCTGGACTCTTGAGAGACTGAAGATGGAACCCAGGTCCTTAGGCATGCGAGGGAAGCCCTCCACCACTCAGCTAGAACCCTGGCTCCTTTGGGCTTTTCTAAAACCAATTAGAATGAATTGCTTTGCTGTCTGTGTTTTAACTGCAGCGGAGAGGAGCGTTTCTGTGGCCGGGCCTTAGGGTACGTGCTCAGTAACCATGAATCCAAGTAGTGGTCACCACCCCTGTCCACAGAAACTGGACATCAAAGGCTTCTGACCCCCACAGCTGCCCTATGTGTGGATTCTTTCGCAGAGGGGAGACTCCAGGGCTCAGAATGAGTGAAGTACTGTCTTAGACTGGCCCAGCCACTGAGTGGCACCCTGACCATGCCCCGGCTTGGGACTGGAGAGGAACCTGGGTCTCTGCCATCCAAACATGGCTCCTTCCCTTCTGTCCCTCAGCCTTATCACTGCCTTGCACACAGTAGGCCTGTTGATAATTTTTGAGCTGCTGACTGTGACCATTGGTGTAGAACACAGCAGTGGTTCCATGTGATTCTGCAGCCCTTTTCTGATGGTCTGACGTTTTTCATCTCTGTTTCATCCTCCACCTTTTCCCACTTCCTAGGCTCCATTCTGTTTGCAGGGCTTCCAGGATCCTGCCAGCCTTTGTGAAAGGGTCTCCATGCAGGTCTGAGGTTTCTGAGATGGAAGCCACGGGTTGCCACTGAACTTCACACCCTGTCCTGTTTGCCTCGGCTGGGGAAGTGGGCCCCACGTGGGCAAGGTGTTAATAGGCGAAGGGAGCAGATTTTTGGAACATATTTTAAGGCTTATTTTACTTTTAAAACATCCTTTCAGGCCACAGCTGGCTTCAGAAAGCCTTGGGAGCTCCTGCCTGGCAGACGGCCACCCAGCAGTGCAGCGTGGAGCTCAGGTGTGAGTGCCAGCCAGCCAGCCACAGGGCTGCAGTCACCATACTGTGTAAAAATAGCACAGGCCTTTGCCTTTAAACACCTGCGTGGAAGGAGCCCATGCAATGAAGGACCCATGTCCTGGGTTGGAATGCTGGTCCCCCATGATGACTGTGTGACCCTGGGCAGATGAATCAACCCTCCTGAGTGACTTACTCTTGAGCTCTTTGGCCCGTGTCTTGCAGAGGTCGTGGCTGTGCTTAACTTTCTGAATGCTAAAATTTACTGAATACTAAATGTGCTGTGGGGTCAGGGCTGTCAGATGTCAACGTGGTTAACAGGCCCTGGGGATCTATTCGTAAAAGGCAGGTGGTCCAGTCAGGCACAGTAGCTTTTGTCTGTAATCCTGGCTCTCAGGACCCTAAGGCAGGAGGATCAAGGCCAGCCTGGGCTACACATTGCCAAAAACAAAAGCTAGCTGACCTTTCTGACCAACTAAGCAGCCTTGGGATAAAGGGGAAATTGCTGTGGAGGGATGCTCTGCCCAGGTCTGGCAGCTTCCTGAAGTGAGGTTGAGGGGCTGAGCTCAGAGGTCACTATCACCCAGCCCTCAGGGCAGAGCCCAGGCTCTTTGCCGATGGCTTCTCCTGGTCACTTGTGGGCTTCTGCCCGCCTCCCTCTGTGCTGTCCCTCACATCAGTGTGGAAACTTGGTCTGTGCCGCTGTAAACTGTAATCTCTGAGATTTTGTTGGAAAGAAGTGCAGACCATCCAGGAGTTGAGAGCCAGAGCCTGGGAGGGGAGATGGTCATTTTCCCCTAACTCTGTCACCTCCTTGCTTTGTGACTGATTTCCTCAGCGATCAGCAAAGCCAGGTTACCTCTGAGCCATGTTTCTAGCCACAGGAGCCCCGGAATCCAGAGCTGTGGTCTTAGCAGAGCCAGGCTCTAGGCAAGGTGCTTTCCAAAGCCTGGCCACTGAGCTTCCCAGTGAGCTAAGGGACCTTAGCAAATAGCCTTGGCTGATGTCAGTGGCATCTCAGGCCCAGGCCCACATAGTGTCTTACAGCAACAAAGTCTGCAGCATGTGTGAGCCGGAGAGGTGTGCTCTCCAGGAGAGGTGTGGAAGCCACTCTGGGCTCCGCCGTGCCCCCCCCAGCACCTAGCCCAGAATCTGCTGGTGCCTGTCCAGTCCCCTCCATGGGGAGTTAGGTAAGCAGGGGCGACCAGTGACAGCGGGCATTCCAGGCAGAGTTAGGGGGAACGGTGCGAGCTGCTGACCTGACCTAGACCAGCTTTGAGAATCCTGGGCTCTCAGCCTGTTTCCTCGTGGTCGTAAAGGCTTCCGATAAGTGAGCCTACTTGTCCCTGTCTAAGGCCTGGCCTGCTGTGAAGGGCTAGGTGTGTCTGCTTGGGGGCATAGGATAATTTAACTGTGGACTTAGATGCAAAGCTGTGGTGAGTTTGTTTATAGACCTGCTTGGGAAACATGCATGAATGAGTGAGTGAGTGAGGGAATGGTAGGGCTCCTTCAGGGTAGGGTAGACTTCTATTTGCTTTTTTGTGAACGGTCTCCAGTAGCCCATACCGGCTTCCAACTTGCTTCGCAGCCAAGGATGGTCTTGAACTTCTGCCCCTCCCAACTCCTGTCTTTTAAGTGCTAGATGCACTTAGTGCTAGTGATAGACAGCCACCACCTTCAG